TAATGTTTTTTTTGTTTATTTATGCTTATAAGTGAATGAATTTTTGCTTACCATTGTCTGTTCTTCGCACCAGGACCCACACGCGCGCAGTGAAACACACTGTTTAGCTCGTCCGGATGTCCCACTCTTCTTCATTTTTCTGGTTTGATTCTCGTCCAGTCCCCTTTTTAACGGTTTTTGGAAGCCTTTTTTCACTTTGGAAACACCGATGGAAACACGCAGTTTCTTCACCTCAGTCGCTCTAATTTCGATCTTGTCTTCCATTTTTCATCATAATCTAGATTAGCCGAAATTATGTGAACGGTGCCTTTAAAACAAAATAGTGTCCTTCTACAGTGTTTTATGGAACTTCCAGAACATTCCAAAAAATGTGGACTAGTGCGTCATCTTCGGCAGATACTTCTCGGGCCCTTTGATTGAATGTGCACTGACGAACTGAAAAAAATAATGAAAGCGAAAAGAGTCTACGAGAATGAAACAGCTGATTTAGTTACTTTGTTGGTCAGGTATAGCATTTGTGGCCTGAATATTATATAAAACAAATGTATTGATTAAATTTAATTTCAAGTTCATTCAAATGAGTAAGTGCACTTCAAAGTCGCAGATGTTTATTTTGAAGCATCTGTAAGATTCTGTTTCAATTTACTTGATGTCCTATTTCTTCGACATGGACTTAATGACTATAGTGGACAGGTGAGAAGTCATTTTGAACATGAAGCAGATTTGATAGACTGAGAAATCTTCATCGGGAGATTGTCGTATCAGATCATTTCATGAATTAGGGTCCACATTTGATGTACCTAATGATAATGCATTTAATGGGAAAATTCTGTTTTTTTTTTATTACCATTCGATTTTTTGTTCTCGATTTTATTTATAGAATAGTTCTTCTGTGTTTTTATTTAGCCGCTCAAGTTACATAGATATAATCATTTTATCCAATTGCTTACTTTGAGAAACCCACTTTTTCATCACTTTCGAAAATTTTAATTTCTAAAATAATTTTCTGTTTGACAGATTCTACGTGGTCTCAAATACATTCACTCAGCGAATGTAATTCATCGCGATTTGAAGCCGTCAAATATCCTGCTCAATAGTAATTGTGATCTCAAAGTAGGGTTATCGATTATCTATCTATTGAAAGACTTCCTGACTACGCGATTGATCAATCAATTCTTCAGATCTGTGACTTCGGCTTGGCTAGAATAACAGATCCACGTAAAGATCATACTGGATTCCTTACGGAATATGTGGCGACACGGTAACGTTGCATTTTTATTTTTTCTCTGATATCAGGACTTATTAGAGAACTTTTGAAGGTGGTATCGTGCACCCGAAATCATGCTCAATTCCAAAGGCTACACGAAATTGATTGATGTCTGGGCTGTGAGTCACACATAATTTTTCCCTGATCATTTAAATATTATGTTTGGGCTAAGATCGAACACACGAAAATTTTTAGTGGCTATCTTAATGGAGCAGTCAAACCTGTGGTCGGTTCATACCTGGGTTATGCGACGCGTGGCGTGCGTCTTGTACTGGTGATACCCGCGACGCAACCGCACGCAACCTCAGTCATATGCGACACGCCTGTAACTTTCTGCGATGAGCGTCCCACCTTCGACTGGGTCTTTAGCTTGCCTCAAAATAATACAAACATCTAAGGCTTCCGCTAGCGAAAACCAATAAATGCAAATGTTGAGGTTGGCTGCATACTTGCCGAAATGTTCAACAATCGACCACTTTTTCCTGGCAAGCATTACATTGATCAATTAAATCTCATACTTTGTGCACTTGGCTCGCCGTCACACGAGGATCTGCAGTTTATTTTCAACATGAAGGTGTGTTCTTTTCTATCCGCTCTACTAGTAACCGCCTTCTTGATTTACACGTCATCTAGAACTTTTGGATACTACTTACTATTTAGGCACGTGCATTTTTGGCTCGATTGCCGCAGAGGCCAAAGCAACCCTGGTCATCGCTCTATCCTGACGCAGATCCCGATGCATTGGATCTTCTGGACAAATTACTAACGTTTAATCCTCAGAAAAGGTGACTCGCTTTGTTTATTACATATCATCCTACTGATTTGTTTACGCGATCGCTTCGTGGACATTTGTAGATGCTGGGGATCAGCCCACTTATAAAAGCGAACTTAGGCCCACGGGGGTAATCTCTTGGCTTTGTGCAAAAAACTTACGTCTTCAGTGTTGTTCGGGTGAATTTTTAGCTTATTCAGTAACTTTGGGAATTTGCNCAACTTCCAGCTCGAGTTTCTTCCCTGGTGGACATTTGATCAGCCTGGACGGAATCAGTTCTATCTTCATCACTCCCGCCCTTAAATTTTCCCAATATAAAATACTCGATCAATTGGGTTCTGGGATACGCCACGCATTATTTTCACTTGGAATTGCAGTGGGTTTTGGATGCGTGGAGCTACACTAGCTTTTGGATGCGCATATGGTCCAGGTTATGAATCGCAGAGGGAAAGGGTGGAGGCGGTGGCCGGGGAACGGATCAGCCCATCTTCTCATAGATGAATTCCTACCAGTCAGCTGACCATGGGGAGATAAGTTAATTCTTCGGCCTTAGCAGTATTCAGTGCTTTTTTCGATCCAAGGGCCATCTGTTAGGGTATCTTTTTTGCTATGTTACTGCTGATCCGCTTTACACTTAGTACACCTTGGGCATCCAAAGCGTGACTATCGAAGTGATCTTTTTGTTCATCCATTTCCTAAAGTTGTAAGAGGTTTCCGAAATTTATCCGTTTAAGGATTGATATTGATCAAGCGCTCGCTCACCCATATTTCGAGCAGTACCACGATCCAACTGATGAGGTACTGCTCTCAGATTGTCTTATTTGTTTGAGCTTCTTCCACTACTAATCAATAATGTCAATAATGTAATCAACAGTTTCAGCCGGTATGCGAAGAGCCATTCACATACGAGATGGAGCTCGATGATTTACCGAAGGATAAATTGAAAGAGCTTATTTGGCAAGAAACAGAGTCGTATAACGTTCGTGTACAACGTGAAGCCGCTGAAGCTGTTGCAGAAGAGTCAGCTGCAGTGATGGTCACCTCCTAACCCCTCCCCAGCCCCAGAGGTCTATGGGAGGTGTCGTATAATGTAGTGCATCTGAATTGGCCTCCTGCCAAACCGCTACCATAAGTCCTATAGATTGACTGCAATGCTCAATGATCCGTCTCGAAAAGATCACGTCAAATGACATCTTACCAGCCAGTCAGTCGTATTTCCTCTTCATCCGGTCATATCCTCAATAACTCGCTCGTAACGGTTTTGTTTAGTGAAAGTACTGACTACTCATTTTAATAACTTGGTTGTATTTGATGTTTCAATTACATATCGACTCGTTTCTCATCAAAGTTTCTGACCAGGTCGAATCGATGCTGTTGTTCACCTCCATTCCGCCATTATCCTCCCTACCGGTCCTTCACTTTTTGCACCTTTCTTTGCACTATCACGATTACTCAATAGTATTGGCATGTACTGTACTGTTAGAAGGCGTTCATCGTCGCCTTTTCGATAGTTTCGCCGTTTTGTACATATACTATAAGGTTTTTTTTTGATAATTTCTCACAAATTTTGTTATGTTTACATAGATATTTTGAATCTCGGTAACTTGAATAACAATTTTGTTCTGGCAATAAGAAAATGGTGTTTTTATCGTTTTTGAGATAGATCTGCGACAGATCTTCTCTTTGAGTATTTTCTTCGAGGTTATACCTCCTGTATATTTCTGATATCAGTTTCAGTACCATATCCATGGCTAGAAGGCTTTCAGCATTGTGTAAACTTTGAGGGTGAAAATGTAGTTGGGGGGTGCCAGCGGCCTTCCGTCTCGTTGCTCTGCGTCTCTGACCGTGACGGCAGAGTATCCAGAGACCGCACTGGAGCGCGGATCTGGCCTCTCAATAGTGATAGGGAACCTATTCTTTAGCAAGGGGAGGAGCTCCGGGGTGGGTGAGAAGTAAACGTAGTGCAAGGACAAGAGAAAGTTGCAATGAAGTAGAAAAGAGTGGAATGGGTTAAAATTGAGGAGCTGTTTCTATACATTTCAGCTTTATGCACAACGTTTACTTCGCACCCACCCCGGAACTCATTCCCTTGCTAAAGAATAGGTTCCCTATCACTATTGAGAGGCCATATCCGCGCTCCAGTGCGGTCTCGGGATACTCTGCCGTCATGGTCAGAACGCAGAGCAACGAGACGGAAGGGCGCTGGCACCCCCCAACTACATTTTCACCACTTTGAGTAATATCCTCCTAAAGAAATTGATTGTTGATTTTACACGAACTGATAGCGGGTTTCGTTTGGTACCGCATCATCTACTTCCTCGAATAAGGTGGTCCGTCATTTGCAGATGAGGCGGTCACTTGGTGATTACAACTCGGACTGTCGCAGTTATCTTCATAAAACGTATAAGTCACATTCAAAGCCAATAGGCAGCGACTGATATCCGAGTGGGCCTACTCATTACCGTTGTACCAAATGTTGTATTCTTACAAAGATAATTTGCAGTAATCGATAATCTTTGCCGCCCATTGTAACCAGCCAGTCATTCGGTCAGGTCACTCTCCTAACCTATCTATATCCATCTGTTGTAATTGAAACTCTATCCACTTTCGTGGTATTATTCCTTAAAGTTTTTTTTACCCGTTTTCATCCAAGCAATCTTCTTTGCAGAAATTTTATGCAACGAAGACTACAGCCTTACTCAGTGAGTATAGTGGCCGTATCCCAGCTGAAAATCATGTTAAATTCACATTCCGTCAATAGCTGGATGTCGAGGGCTTTTCCCCTTTTTAACTGGTTCTGAATTTGCTTTATCGATGGGTCCTGATGAGAGGGCAGGATAGAGACAATTTTCCCCTTACCATTTCTTGGGAACATGTGGACACCTCCAAAACTACTCAATCCTGGACGATTGTCATAGATATGAAAGTATATGTCAGTTCTGTTTGCAGGTGACGCTTGCCTTCCATCTTTCGACTAGCCCTAGGAATATCTAAAGCCAAGTCTAGCGCCATTATTCAATCTATTTCTTTCCTCAAACTAGATAATATGATGGCTTGCAAAGCAGGTCATGACTTCAATATGGACACCGAGTATGTCCGCACGGATGAGCGTTACTTTTTCATGGGAGCCCAGTCTCTGAAAAGTACAAAGGTTTCAGGGGTATCGTAAAAATATCAAATCTCCTAAGAAGTGACCCGATCATTCGCCCTTTGCTTTGAAAGAAACTCAAATCGAGAATGGAGAAGGGATTCAAATTGGTACAGGTGAAGCTCGAAGAGTTGACGTCAAGGAGTGTCCCGATGTCGATTTTTTTACTTCCCACTTCTGGCATACTCCTTGCTCTCTGACTCAGTCTTGGACGGGAGAGCCCTTTTTCTTGAAAGTGTGGTTTCCTTCCTTTTACGGGTGTCGTCATCTGAAAAAGAACCAGTGACTTCACAATAACTAGCATGAGTAAAATCGTTCTTACTATTAGTATTGCAAGATTGTACTGGAATTTCTTAATTCACCCATTGCATCTGTTGCTTCTTTAATATTACTTTGAAAATAACGCTCCACTTATAGGAACCAATTTACCGCGACAGCGTTTGCTACCTGTTAAGAATACACAGACATGCTACTACTCATGTCGCCAATTTCCTCACTGTGAATCTCACGAAAGGAATCTGAAGGTCACTCATTCTTTCATGAACTTCGATGCTCTCTAGCCTCAGTAAAAGTCAATAAAACTGCCAATGGAGTTCGGTTGAGACTTGGAGAAGGTATGGCATCTCAGAAATATTTTTTTTTTTGCAGATCGTTTTCTAAGTCGAATTTTTTGCATGAGGATCATGTATTGATTGATCATCCTAAGATTCCAAATATCTATTAGCGTTCCCCTTGATCAGTTGGGGAGTCTGTTTCAACTCATAATTATCTGAAGTTCGACAACTATTAGGGTTTTCAAAAAGTATCCATCGAAAATTTCACAAAAGCCTTGATTTTTTGATTGTTCCCAGAGTTCCTGCAGAAATGCCATGAAAGGGTACTCCTGATTCATATGCGCATAACATATACGGAGATTTTATGAATCACTTCGGTTGACTGGACCGAGGTCCATCGTGAACCTTTTTGGTTGGGGTTGAAGCGTTGGAACGAGATTGTGCACAGAACTGCTGAGAAGTGGTCTCAAAAGCAAATATTTTATAGTTTTCAATGGGTCTCAGCAGCAGGTCGAACTCGAACTCTAAAACAATTAAAGTTCGGATACGGATAGACACGGTGGTCATTATTTGGTCAAATAAGCAAGGAAGAGGTTGTTGGATATGTCGTGTGCGTATGCACGTAAGTAGTGTCCTTACAGTAAGCTCCATGGGAAGATTACGATGGATGCCGAAAAATTTCTGAGCTGTCGCAAATTTTTTNTTTTTTGGCAGGTGCTGTTCTGACGATTTAATAATTCGATCTCTTGTTGCATAAATAAATTCAATAAATCACAATGTCAGCCCTGTTATCGTGATTGTTGATACGCTTCCAAGGTTCCCCAATTTGATTGAGTTCGACCCCTGACATTTCCTCTGGATGTCTCATTCCCAGGGGTAATAATGGATATTTGGGTTTTCGTTTTTTACAACGCTGCCGCTGGCTGCGCTACCATGTTTCTTGTATAATTTTGTGCACTTAGATCGTTTTATCCTTGGGCTTGGGCTTTCACAACTTTTTAAGATTTTTTGCTGTTTCCTCCCTTCACATGAACTATTATGTTTTTACGTCTGCAGTAAATCTAAATGAATCTAAGTTTTGTATTTTTTTGACCTTTTACGTTCCATCTATCTGAAGTTTTCTCTCTTTTGTCCCTGATTTACTTTTTCTTTTTTTTTCTGCTCCTACTCTGTTCATTTTTCGCCCTTCATTCCGTTTCCATGGATATATCCTTTTTTGATACATTTTCCCCGATTTTTCTTCTTTTCGATTCCGCTATCCAATAATCAACATACAAGTCCTGTATTGATCATATCGTGAAAGGGTTGACATCGGTTGTGCTCGAACACCCTATGAGCAAAGATTCAAAGAAGACTGAGCAGAGCAAAGACTGGATAGCTGTGTCCAAATGTGTCGAGACAGCCAAATAAAAAGACGGGTGGAGGGAAAGCCCGCAGGACTTGCAGGTAGAAGTGCCTAGGGAGATAGCATCAATGAATTCATTGGTCTGGACACGGATGAAGGAGAATACGAACATGTAGAAGAGATGTGTCAGATACTGACTAAGAGATACTTAGGGAGGGTAGAGTGGACGGGACTGGACACAGGAGCACGGATACATAGAAAAGCTGGTGGAAGAGAGGGATGTACGTGTGGATGCTACTGTCCGTGCGGAAACGATTACGAGACCTGTTGAACACGAAAACATACACTGCTGTGCAATGATACACATGAATTTCAACAAAACTCACGTTCCAGGGAACTTCAGGAAAAGACTTGATATGGGCATTGTGCCCTACACGGACCGCACTACCTACTTGTAGACTAGCAACGAGTTTCTCCTCAGTGACACGGACAATTTCCTCTTCATTTTTTTCGGGAAAGGTGAATGACGACAAAGGGAGCACTTGCATGATTAGTAATTAACTGAGCCCCATACCTTCGAAGTATTTCAAAAATACGATTGTCTAAGCAAGAGTGAAGGCAATCAATGGATTTTTGGTCAATTTGGTGCCCAAACCGTTGACTATTGCTTTCTTCATTCAGCTCACTGATATTCCGACTGCTTGTTACCTTCATAAGTCTTCCTTATCATGAATCCTCATACGTTTTCCCATTAGATTCAAGTCTAGGCTGTTAGCCAGCCAGGGCGAAAGGTCGTTTTGGTGCCGACCAAACCGGGCCTAGGTGCTCCAGCTAACGGGAATCGAGGCATTATCCTACAATGAGTACGAAGTTCTGCATGTGATTCTGACACCAAAAGTCAGGAAGAGCACGGAAAAGCTGAGCTTCTTCGGAACAAACCATAAATGAAAACCTTAACGTTAGGAAGTTGCCGCCCATGCCATGACTCATCCTCCTTTGAG